TCAAATCTGACATTAGAACGCCCCAGTTCAGCTATTTTCAAAGTATTTTTCAGTCTGTCTGAACACCAAGCAGCAGCCTCCACAGCCTGCAATGTGGGGCGTTCAGGGAACATCTGTAAATTGTAGCGTCTATCAAAAAGCAGATGTTCAACAAGTGATGTGTTTGTTCCTGTGACAAAGTGGGAGGCGCGACCAAATAAGGTGCTACCAGTGAAAAGGTTAGTCTGGTTTAACACCTGGTGGTTAATCAGGAAACAGATCGACTGGTGATAGACACAACTTAACACAGACACACAAAACATATTATTGTCGGACCAAGCAAAACCCACAATGTAGAAGCATGTTGTGTTGTGTGTTGGTGCATTCAGGGTCAGAGATACAGAGCAGAAGTTGAAGCTCAACTCGGGTTTGTTCACCGAAACACACACACACAGCAACACAAAGCACAACAGTTTGATAAAATGCATCAGAACAGACTGAGGCCACATTGAATGTTTTCAGTTTGCAAAGTTAATGGACTGCAATATACTGAAGGGGTTAATGTTGACATTTTCTCTGTTTCATACAGCAACAGTTTGTGTCTGTGTATTTGAAAAATAAACACCTGATAAATTTCTCTTTTTTCACCACACAAATAGATTCAAGTTGCATCACATCAGTTGCATCATGATGGATTCAAATGCACCGTTAGTGAATCGTATTGTAACCCATGTATCTAGATTTGAATTGGATAGAGATGCACACCCCGAGAAAAAACTCTTTGGAACGATCTTCTTGTGCCGCCTCAGCTCTCCCAGATCATAGAAACCAGGCTCCCTTCCCCATTAGAGCCAGATTTTGGAGGATAATTCACCAGTAATCATCTATTGTGCTCCATCGGGCCCAGCTCAAGACAGCACCATGGAGCAGCCGCCCTCAGACCGGGTGCAATGTGAGCCGGTTGGCAGGTTGACGCTGTGATCAAGCCAAAGTGCCTGTTGGACGGTTCAGCCGTGTCCGAAATCCACCCGTCAATCAGCTGATGTCAGAATCGGAGGCGACGTCAGGCGGCAGGCTTCCCGCCACACCTTTCTCTGCACCATCTTTTATTGTTCCTCTGCACGGCGACTATTTAGTCAAAACAGATACTTAAAAGCTGTTTCCGTTAATTATTATTCTCTACATGTTGCTTAGAAGATAAGTCTAATCCTCGTCTGCAGATTTGTACACAGAACGATAAGGACTGAATGCTCCAGTACACTCGGATTGAAATTTAATTTGGCATTTCTCCAAAGGCTGTCAAAAGTTTTTCAGGCAAAAGATGAGGAGAATGGCTGAGGAGGTGGACGTGTGGCAGCCAGTTTGAGCTTTTCAAAATCAGATATAGAAACATTAAAACGTTCTCTGCAAGTGGCTGTTACTCACCGCCGTGTGGTACTGGCACCTTTATGTTGTGCTCTGTAGCATACTATGACTTTTTATTTGTGTAGAGGCACTTTGCAGTCGCTACTAGGTTCACATCAGGTTTACTGGATGATTGATACCGGCCCTAAATCAACTGAATTACCCAGGAGGCACTCCTTGACGCCCTCCTTTCTGTCCCTTTCTCTAATCTAAGTAACGAGGGGAAATACAGTATCAGGGGATTTCAAAAGCTAGTTGCATAGAGCAAGTACAAGTACAGTTAAGGTGATGTGCCAGCTGGCCGATGCATCTTTTGTTCTGCCTGGGTCTCGCTGTGTTATGTAACTTTGTGCCTGACAAACGTGGCATTGACATTCAAATATCCAGGAAGTTAGATAGTCAAGATGAGGGGTTCCTTAAGTGGGGGTCCCGAGGCCCCAAGGGAGGTGTCGCAGAATGGACTTGGGCTTCATGCATAGTGCCCATTAGCTGAGATCAACACTGAAACACAGTCCATTCATCCATTGTCTATACATCTTAATCCTCACAAGGGTGTGGTCGGGCTGGAGCCTATCCCAGCTGACTCAGGGTGAAGTCAGGGGGCCAAGTCAGGGGACACAGTGGACAGGTCGCCAGTCTATCACAGGGCTACACTTAGAGACAGACAACCAAGCACAATTAGACAGTTTAGAATCACCAGTTAACCTCAACATGTTTTTGGACCTTGTGGGAGGAAAGTGAAGTGTATAAGTCAGTACTTTGCACTTGACAGCAACAGTGTTCACTCATAGGCTACATGGGGATTTAGACTGATGTGTTCTGCTTTCATCCTGTAGTAAACTGTTATATGTAAAAATCATATCATGGTTGTCAGGTTGATCTCTTCCTTTTTGTTTTGCCCGTGTTGGGATACATCTATTTGTAATGTTTCAGTCACCTCCGGGGATAGTGGGGGTCGCCAGTCTCAGGAAGCCCTGGTCTAGATCGTCTTTATAAACTTGCTGCAGACATGCTTTTATCCATAAATGTGCAATATGTTAAACACCTAAGTCCAGTATTATATTACAGTCTACCTCGCTGCTACACAGGGCTTACTTTGACTTATATTCTGCTCCTGTTTTTGTTGTTTTTTGTACTTGTGATTTATTCTTTAAAAACAGGGACCTGAGTTCTTATTTCATGGTATGTGAATGTGAGCTGGCATGACATTAGAGTTCCTTAAATCTCTTCATATGTTTGTGCACAAAATAAAACTTACCCCACATTTTCGGGGACCATTCCAATAAATATATGGTCATCACACATTTAAAAATAACACAATGACTCTCTAGTCTCACAAGGACTAATAAGAACTCTTGTATAATGTTGTGAGCATTGGACTAACAACCAATGCTTAGTGTTATACTTTATTTTTTTCCACATTTTACATGATCTAAAATGTTTTATTTATGTTTGTGTATATGAAGGTTCTACATTGGTCTGTATACTTATTCTCAGGCCCATAGATGGACAAAGAGTTTTAAAGGACAGAGGATTGTCGTGGGGGTGCTGGACTTTGTGGCAAATGGTTTACATAGCACATGGGTCAGGTAGGAGTGTCTCCAAGTAGGTCAGGGCTGGAAATACAAGACACAAAGGGCTTCCTGAGCCGATGACTTCATTTGCATCACACGCTGAAGCTGGTGTTCATAGTCAATGAAGTCTTACTGTAATAATTAAAACAGTTCAAATGGTTGGAGTACCAACACTTTTTTTTTGTCCCTCTTCAGACACTGCTATCAAGTCTGGAAACATCTCACACTGCAAAGATAGGAGAAGTTATAAATGGGGAATCGGTTGCATGCTTGCACCATAGCATGTTTTTCCCAAAACAGGTTGCTTTGAGCTGTTGAGTACAGCCATTGACCAGGATCCTCCAGGTATTGTTCTGTAAATGTGTCAGTGCCAGAGACACACCGGAGCCATACGTGTGATCATCAGCCTGCCCCATTTGCTTTGAAGGTATAAAGGGAAGGTGGTCATTAGGAAGACAAGCAGCACTTTAACATCTGCAGATAACTGCACTGACGATTTGCATTTGTGTACGCTGCAAAAACAACACTTTTCCTACAGCTTTCAGGGCGTGACACAGGATTAGGAGCCAAATTCTGAGATGTTTTGTCCAAGCGCCCAAATACTGATGCATCATAGTCCAACTTTCTGCGTGCAGTATTTTATCCTCTGTGTTTAAAAAAGAAAGAAAGCACAAACTCTGCAACTAAAACAACCTGAACATGCGTACAGGTAATAGGCTTTATGAATGAAAAGAGGTAGCTAACATAAATTAACAGATAGTAACGGACTGTTCAGTTAGTGGCAGAAACTAAACCAAGACGGACACCTAGTGGAGAAACTGAGTAATGAGAAAGAAAGCTGCACAATGCATCTGGGTTTTAAGAAAAAGAAAAGAATAGGAAAGAATAAGAAAACAAAGAATATTAACTGTCAAAATGTGTGTTTTAGCTTTTAAAATGTAATCATAATAATTTCCAATCAAGTCCAGTATACTTGGTCTGGATTAAAAAAATGTTCTGATTGCTATGAATTATATTGTAATAAACAAAAATGTGAGTAATGTGAAAACCTTTTCTCTCCTGACAGAGCTGAAGAGCTGCTGCAGCGCTACATGATTTATTATATGGATCTACACATACTATAGGAGTAAACATGCTGACGGCTACTTTCTGTGTACCGTCTTCGGTTAATTGATTGCTTTGGGCTGTGTGGCTTTTGTATCGGATTGCTTGGGGCTAAAATCCAGAACTCTTTACACATGAGAATCTGTATTTAGTTAGGAATAGTTTGTATTGTAACACAGGGACTTTTTTTCTTTCCTGTTGTTGTGTGCCTAGAGCTGAATCCAAGTGTTTCTCTGCAGGAACACAGCAGCTTAGTGACTTTCAAAGAGACAACAATTGACTCATTTTAATGAGTTTATTGCTGATTTAATTATTTCTGATTAAGTAATGTTTTATGCAATGAAACACCTTCACACTTGTGAATCACTAAGCATTAACTTGAGGCAAACACTAGAGGGCAGTCTCTCATAAACAGTGATGCAAAGCTTCAAAGAAGCCTAAACTCACACATCTGTGGACACCTGATGGAAACACCAACTGCTCAGTTCCCCTCAAAGATGACAAATAAATACCTTTAGAGTAGCTCTTGTGATGTCTAGTGGCCTCTATCTAAGGTTGTAACTTCATTGCAATTCATGACAAAAGAGTTCAGTTTCTCTTAACTCATTTCAGCATTTCCCTCAAAAGGAAGATTTACAGTTTAGGTTGGTGAGAGGAAAGGCAGCAAAACCTTCAATAACTAACACAGACGTTTAAGTTGAAGATCACAAAATACTAAATAACTAAATAACTGCAAGTCTAAGTCTAGTCATGAGCTGCTTTATTCATCCTTTATTGTCACCTAACTCCTTTGTGTTTGCGTGTGAGACGTGGCCACACAGCACCAGGAAATACTGAACTGAAACCTCAAGAACACACCACACAAACCTGTATAAACTCAAATCAGATCTGCACTTAAATGATATTCAACAGGGAAAATATGCAACAGCAGACATGACGTAGTTGTAAAAGTAGGTTTATTTTGGAGCACTTAAGCCCAATTTTTAAATTTTTAAAAAAAAAAGCATTTGTGTTTCAAGTACAACAGTTCATCCGTCAGTTGGATGAACAGTGGATTTCTTCATTCTTAAAAAAAACAACAAACAAGGATCCATTTTTCATCATAAAATACATATCTGCATCTCGAAAAGCAATGAGATGTAAGAATAAACAAAAACAACATTTCAATTGGAGTCTGAGCGACTCTGTTGTCTGGGATCCTGAACATCAGTACCTGAATTTGTTTGCGTTGCTCAAGCAAACCTTCACAATCAACAAATCAACAAAACAACAAAACCAAACAAAAATGTCTCAAATATAGGCAAAGCCTGCAATGCTTAGAAAAAAAATCAAAAGTGTGGTCTATAAAAAAAGCCACGAAAAAAAGTTTCAAAAAATATGTACAAAAAAATCCATTGCAATCCTGACCTGATCTGAGTAGTATCAAAGGTATAAGATGTAAACATTGCAAAAAAAAAAAAAAGAAGAAAAAATAAAAAGAACGTACAATTTACAATGTGTACAAAAGACAGGGTCCTGCCCACACTCTCAGTAAGGCACTCAGCAGCAACCAATAACTTACTTAAAACAGAGTGAGGAAATGTTTTAAATACTAAACTACTATAACTTAGCCAGGGTTGTGGTATGCACAACAACCACTGGAGGCACTTTACTCTGCTGGATATGATGCACTATTGTAAAAACTCAATATGGTTGCCAAGGTACTCAACTCTGCCAAAGTCCCACATCTGCTCAGGCCTGCAGAGGACTGCTGTGCTACAGTCTTTCTGTGACCAACGATGGGGACGTCTCATTCTTCTTCTGGATGCTGACCACGATCCCAAAAGGGAAACGTGGAAGTGTCCTTAAAATGCTCATCTCATCTCAATGCTCAGTGTGGCCTACATGTGCCTCTTCATGTGGAGAGCCAGGTGATCTGAGCGGGAGAAGGCACGCTCACAGAGGTGGCACTGGAAGGGTCGGTGCCCAGTGTGCTTCCTGAAGTGGCGGGTCAGCTCATCTGACCTGGCGAACTTCCAGCCGCAACCTTCCCAGTTACAGTGGTAGGGCTTCTCACCTGAGAGATACAAACACAAGACGTTAGATAACAGGAATAAACACACACAACACAAAATAATCACAACAGGTAGTTGACAGAGAAGGATGCTAGGTTCAAATGTTCTCACCTGTATGCGTTCTCATGTGAGCCTTGAGGTGGGAGCTCTTTGTGTATGTTTTCCCACAGCCGGGAAACTCGCAGTTGTGTGTGGCAGCACGTTTTCTGGCCCACGACCTGCGGCCTCGCTTCTGCTTGATGCCACCCGCCTCATCATGCGCGTAGAACTCCATCAACGATGGCGACGAGGGAGGAGTGAGCATCATCCCCTGCAGAGATGAGGGGCGGTGCTGCTGGTGAACCTGGACTGGCTCTCTGCGCATGTTGTATTGGCCTTGAAACTGTGGCACGCTCTGCTGTGCGTACTGAGGGTGATACGGCACGTACTGATTCTGGACCTGGCGTTGATTTGGAGGAAGATGTGAGCTCATATTCATTTGCACGGTGCGTCCCTGAGGTGGGGCATGCTGCATAGGGTGTGCAACGAAACCCTGCAGCACACCTGGAACTGTAGCTTGGTGGTGCGTAAAAGCTGGTGGAGGCATTGCGCGCATCTGGGGCTTGTCATACGCTTGTTCCATAAAGTTCCCACCGACTGCAGCCATCATGCAAGACTGATCCACGTGCTCGGTTTTAATTTTGTATCCAATCGAAGAAGGCGTTGTGGCCACTTGGAGATGAGCGGGAGCAGCTGGAACGTGGTTTAAAGCTCGCAATTCCGTGTACTCCCTCCCTTCTCTCTGCTTGTCGGATGAACTCTCCCCCGGGTAGCCCATGTCAGTGTTGAGAAGCTCCGCCATCAGACTGTGCACCGGGCTGGAGCCTGTGAAGCTCACACTGCCGTGGTAGCCCTGTGCAACCAGATGAGAAGGAGGGTGGTCGCTGCACTCTGACACAGAAGCTAAGCTCTCAGGCGAGTCGGGCAGAGAATACGCGTTCTGCTGCTGCTGCGGCGGCTGCTGCTGCTGCTGTGGCTGTAAAATATTCCCATTGGCGTTGTTTGCAGAATCAATGGAATCAATGGTGTTTGACAAAATAAAATCGATATCCAAAAATTTTGCCAACTCGTCGTCATCTTTGGGGGGTAAAGCTGGAGATTGCACGATGCTGAACTCCACTTGTATGCGCGGGTTCTCTGCACCACCTGTTGCGCTGCTCTGCACACACTCATCCAACAGCTGTAAAGACGGGAAACATAAAATTAGTCAAAGCTTTAACAGCAATCAGAATCAAATCTAGTCTCCAAATACAATAACACTGATAAAAACATTCAAATTTAAACGCTTTACTTACATCATCCATCGTGTTGACGCTTGGGAACGGTGTCACAGCAGGCATCAGTGCTCCAGCCACAGCCATGCTGAACTCGTCGTGTGAAAGAAGCAGGAGTTTAAAAATCCAAACTGGAAAATGCTCGTATCTCTGTGTCCATAGAGCGTCTGTTTCCTAGATCCGACAGCTGAAAAGCGTTCCAGGATTCAGGATGTGAGTATGAGCGGCGGAGTCTTTTATACCTGCTCACCGGAGGGGGGCGGGGCTTTGCTGCCTCCCCCCTTCCCGCCTCCTCCCCCCCAAGCAGCCACACCGCAGTCAAGAGTGCAAACAAATAAACCAACACCAAGGTGCGGAGAACAGGTTCGTTTAAGGTTCATGAAAACCAACCGAAGAATTTGTCTGTACAAGATTTCTTATTGCTCCCCAAATGAAACAAACGCTTTTCAGAACAAAT